TCAGGATGGGAGTCGTCTAATATCAGGTCCGCATGCTCACCAGCCGGCTGAGGGCGGAACTCATCCGGCCGGTCCTCTGCCAATGATTGCTATTTTCTTGCTTTTCTTGCGGACTCAGTCTGGAGTGCCTTTCTCTTTTTGTCGCCTGTTTCTTGAACAGGCGCACTTTCCTTGACATTGTCAAGGTCTGTTTTTTCTCCACTTGACCCAGTGGCCATAACAGTGGGCTTGACATCCGAGAGATAGCACTCTCGGGCCATCCTCTGATCTCCCCTAAGGGAGCCGACTGTTCCATTGTCCCTTTCAAACTTAAGCAGCATAAGTGACGGGATTATAACAGCCTTGGAATTATTCAGGGTTGGTCGACCCAGAATAATGTTGTAGGCAGAGAGTTCCTCTACCACTAGGAACCGGACTACCATGTGTCGTCCTTCCCCTTTTTCGCCCAGGCGGATGGGTAGATCTACTCGTCCCAGTGGGTGGACGACTCCTCCCCCAAACCCTATTAAAGGGTGGGAGGCCGGATGTATGCAGTCCGTCTGATATTTCAGTTTTGACAGACATTTGCTGCTGATGAGATCTGAAGAGCTCCCGGTATCTATGAGGATTCGACCAACTCTCTGGTTGGCCACTTTACATTCAATAACGAGAGGGTCGTCATGCGGCCCCCTTATTCCTCCTAGATCCTCTTCAGTGATGACAATCTCAGGAAATGTATATTTGGACGGTCGTTCTTGGTGAACGGAATTTACATCTAACCGCCTTATATTATCTTTGTTGCCCCTAATAGTGGGGCCGCCTCCTGAGAAGCCGCCTGCAATGGTGTAGACGACTGCATCATCTGTATCAGAACTGTCGGCCTGCTGATTCTTTTTGGCCGACTGCTTTTTTGAGGGAGTGTTTCCCGTAGATTTCTTGACATAAGTGTCAAGATCACCTTGATCAGCCAAGCGGTCTAGGTACCGCATGAGACTGATGCAGTCATTGGTGTGATGACCAATGTCATCATGATAAGCACAGATTTTGTCTTGGTTCCGGTTGCTCGCAGAACCCTTCATGGGGAGCGGCTTCTCAATTGAGAGCCGTCCCTTTATTTCTTTTAGGATAAACTGGTTATCCTTGTTAAACACATATTTTGGGGAGTATGGTTTGAATTCTTTTTTCTTTTTCTGGGCCGGCTGTTTAGAGGAATCAGCCGCCCAGACCCCTTTTCTTTTTTCATCTTTGTTGGACGACTGTTTCTGTCGTCCCTCTCTATTGTCGAACCTCTTCCCGTCCGATTGTTTTATCGTACACAGATCAGTCGCCTGTATATAGGCTTCTGCTTCAATCAAGGCCTCTTGAAGTGTCGCCACCCTTTTTCGAACTAAATCAAATTTGAAGGTAGACCCATCTTTGAGACCTCTAAAAAAGTCAGTATAAGCTACCTCATCCGGTAACCCTTGAATCTGAATTCTCATCAGGTTGAACCGCCTGATGTAGGAACGAAGCCCCTCCTTTTCACCCTGCTGAATTGTTCCCAAATCAAGGGTCGTTTTCTTCGCAGGTATGTTCATGGCGAAGTTGGAGGCAAATAAGTAAGCAAGCGTCCTGAAGCTGTTTACACAACCAGTCGGCAGGTTGCCGAACCATTGCTGTGCAATTCCCTTGAGAGTCGCTGGGAAACACTTGCACCAAGTGGGATCATCCAACCCTTGAAGGTACATCAGGTTGGTGAATGCCATCAGATGGTCTTCCGGGTTAGTAGTACCATCATAGGCGCCTACTAAAACATTTTTTACTTTTGCCGGCTGAGCGGCTTCAGTAATTTCCTTGGAGAAGGCCGACGGCTGTTCACCAAGTCTAAGCAGCCGTAGCTGCCAGTCCATAGGTTGGACATTTTTTGCTGCAGGTCCACCAAATGGAGGTGGCTGCATAAAATATTGTTGTTGCGGCACAAATGGCAAGTTTGGTACCGCCTGTGCACTATGAAAGCCGGACTGACGGGAGGTGCCGCCTGACTGACTCTCATGGTACGACTGAGTTGGCCTCATAGAGGCATTTCACAAACTGTCCTGAAAATTTGAAGTAGAAGCCGACTCTGATAATCGGTCACTCTTCTTCTGCTCTAGCAGGTGCCGAGCATCTGTGAACGTTTGCTTTGACCCGTCCGCCTGAATATGACGAACCGGTTTCCTATTTCCCGTAGGATAACGGAGTTTTGTGAAATCAAGAGCAGACGGCTCCCGCTTCTTAGATTTAGGATGGGGAGTCGCCTCTCGCCCTTGAACTGGCTTCCTCTTCAGTGAAGTGGAAGGTTTTTTGGCCGACTGCTCTTTGACTGAAGCAGGCGGTTTTTTGTTGATCAACTCTTGGATCTCTCCCTTGAAGCCCCTCATGAAGGTCATGAGTTCGTTCCTTGTGATGGGAGCAGACCCATCAGTCGGCTGTTGCCGAGCAAGCGATGCGCCTGCTGGCTCGCTTCCTGTTTGAAGATACTCCCGTTCCCTTATTTCAGTATGACGGGTACGGCGGGCCCTTAGGGTCCCGTCTGGAGCTGTATGAGTTTCAACTTCAAATTCACTTTCGGTATCATGGTCCGACTGAACTTGAGGGTCGTCTAGGGGACGCCTCTCTTCTGGAATCGGTACAGACTTGGATGCCATCTCTGAAGTACTCTCCCCACAGACGGCGCCAAATGTTTCGGGGTTTTCTGATGTCCTGCGGGAGAGTTACAATTCCGAGACTGGAACCGGACGCCTGTACCTGCAAAATAACGGAGACTCCTGAGAGCTCCGCCTCCAACGGTCAAGTTAGTACCTGATTAAGGAGTAATCAATACAGAAATTAAAGTAATCAGATCTCTCTAGGTGAGAGTGCTTAGTGTTGGTAATCTGCGTTGTTAGCGAGATTAGCCGGTTGTTAATAAGTCTGTTCTTCTCTGCTTGATCTCTTAATTATTCGGGTCCCTGATTAATGAGGATTAATCGAGTATTTATAGCCTTGGGAAGCGTGCAGCTCTCTAGGTTTAAGGTAAACCTAGGGCTGATCGGGCCTCTAGACTGAATTGGGCCTTGATGGCCGGTTGTCCCACTTGGCATGGGTGGACACGTGGCGTGTCTTAAGTGGTCCGTGGAGGACGTATCTGTGACTGACACGTGGCAAGCTCCTGTTGGCCTTCGTGAAGGACACGTGGCGGAACCTGGTTGGTCCACTTGTCAGACGGTGATTGGTGGATAAAAATCCCCTAATCACCTTTCTTTCCACAGTTACAACACTCGATATTCTTCGAGTTCATGGAATTATTTTGATTCCTTGATTTTGATCTCCTGATTTACTTCAATAGCTTGATCTTCCACGTTCATTATTTCTTTTGTTTGACGTTTCTTCTTCTTGACTCTATATGTCAAATTAAAGAGGATGAAGATTCACTTGACTATCTCTGTGAGATCTCTTCACTAAGAACCATATCGCGAACGTAGTCAAATTAACATTCAGGTCGGGTCATTTCGGGTTTTAAGTAAGACTTGGGTATCGGGCGAGTTTGGGTCAGGTCTATTTCAGGTCGGATATGTTCGGGTCAGACCATTTTCGGGTCAAGTATGTTTGGGACATATTCAAGTGAGGTCAAAATCAGGTGGGGTCATTTTTGGGTTGTTCCATTCGTGGATCAAACTCAAATCAATAATTTTATATTTTGTTATTGTTATAATAAGAAGGAAATTTTGGATTTTAATACCACACAAAAACCCAAAATTGGTTTTTAACACCAGACAAATTTAAAAAAAAAATGGATTTTACCACCGCTTAACTGATTCCGTTTAGAAATCCATTTAGTGGGGCCATAAAGCCACGTGTCGCTTTATTATTGGGGAAAAAAAGAATTTTTTTTAAAAAAAAAAAAAAACTAAAATTACCCTAGCCCCACCACTGCCCTCCCCGAACCCACCACCAGCGATGCATCCGCACCCCCAACCCACCTGAACCCTCCCCCTCCCTTTCCCACAATAGTTTCGCCCCCAAAAACCTCCAAAACCCTCTTTCCCCAAAACGACCACGAATCTGGCCACAAAGCCAGTTAAGGCCACTCAGCCCCAAAATCGGCCGATTTCGGCTATTTGTGGCCGGATTCGTGACTATTTTGGGGGAGGAGGGTTTTGGGTTTGGTGGTTTTTAGGGGCGAAACGGTTGTGGGAATGGGAGAGGGAGGGTTCAGGTAGGTTTGGGGTGCGGGTGCGGGTGCGTCGCCGGTGGTGGGTTGGGGGAGGCCGGTGGTGGTCGGGTTGGGTCAATTTCGGGTTTCGAGTCATTTTTCGGGTCAATATTTTTAGGTTAATTCAGGTCATGGGTTGGGTCATCGGGTCAAGGTCAGGATTACGTATCCTAATGAATTGTGAGGCCTATAATTTTTTTCCTTTTTATTTGTAGTGATCTTAACATTAGTGCCATAAACAAAGGAACCAAGTATCCCACTAACTAAATCATGCTAGTAGTTGTTAATGCCACTAGTAGTAATGTTGGCTTACAAAGTGGTGTTTTCCACTAAGAATTTGACCAAAAGTTATTACTTATTTGTAAGCATCTTTAACAATCAATTCATATTGCTTATGGATTTAATTGATTTGAAATTTAAACAAATCATGTAAACTAGGATCCTCTAAGTAGGTATTGTTATTATTAACCGTTCATTGATGCTCGTGACTTCTAATAAATTTGCATTGTATTTGAAATTAAATTGCTCCTATCGTGATTTCAGCTTATTCATCACAAATGTATAGCATGTTTAGTTTTAGTGTGATGTCTATCATATTCATTTCGAAATGGAGCGAATTTGTTGTGGAGATTGAGTTCTTTACACATGGTCTCCTGTTTGTATGTTTCATCTTTCTGGATTAATTTTATGCTCTCCAATAATCATTCAATGTTACCGACACCCTTTGAGGCTGATTGTAAACCTTTATTCTAGCAAGTATTTTTAAATGCTAATGCTTGTTTAATATATGGAAGTTACCACTAAAATAGAAAAGGGAAAAAAAAACATGCTTGTATATAGATTTTTACAGCACTTGAGTTGCAAGATGAATTCAAACCTAACTATGGCTTAGTATCTATTTCTTTTTTTCTTAAGCATCGTTTTAAGAACAGTGCAACTGCAACTAGTGAAAGAACTATAGCTGAGGCCACTGTGATCCATAACCAAATTGATCGCTTCTGCTCATGAGTTTGACAGATTGAAAAGTTTTTATAAGATGGATCTATATGTGATTCAACACAAAGCCTTGGATTACCTGAGAAGCTTTCTCCCAAGCTTCCTGTCGTTAGTGAGAGAGGAATAGGACCAGAAAGATGATTATATGATAAATTGATAGTGCTGGGAAGTAGTTTAGATAGGTTCTCAGGAATGTTTCCTGTCAACTGGTTATTAGATAAATCGAGAATGCTTAGTGATTTCAGCTGGGACAATGATTCAGGGATAGAGAATGTGAAATTGTTATGTTGTAGCAACAAGAGATCCAACTTTTTGAGGGTGCTAAGCTCAGAAGGTATAGGGCCAGATATTAAATTGTTGCTTAGATCAATCTTCACTAGATTGACAGCTCCAGAGATCTCAGAAGGAAGAAATTCTGATATTTTGTTGTTTTGAATGAAGAATTCTGACATATTCTTTGCATTTGCGATTTCTCTAGGTATAGTTCCAGTCACTTGATTGTCAGCAATATCAATGATATTTGCATTAGGGAGACTGAAAATTCCTTCAGGCACCAGGCCAACCAATCGGTTGTTGCTAACACGAAAACGTACAAGTGATGTGCAGTCCGCGTAGCTTTGAGGTATCTCACCTGTGAACATATTGGAAAGAGCAAGAAAGTACAGCAGTTTACCTCCTCTGCAGACATTTGGTGGCAGTTTGCTGGAGAATTGATTCTCTGACAAGTCTATAGCAATCATGGCTGATGAAATCCCCAGATTTTGGGGAATTCTGCCTGTCAGAAAGTTCTGGTAGACAGATAATGTGGTCAACGCTGTTGAGTCCCCAAGAGCCGTTGGAATCTCTCCTGTGAGGCTGTTATTATAAAGCTGCAAGATTTTAAGTTTGGGAAGGCGGCATATTGATTCTGGAATTCTTCCTGTCAGTAAATTTACTGACATATCCAACCCTGTAAGCTCTGTTAGATTTCCTACCTCTTCAGGTATTTTTCCACTGAGCTGATTATAGTAAAGCATGAGATACTTCAGGTTCTTCAGCATTCCTAACTCTGGAGGAATTTGACCCTTCAGAAAGTTCCCACTTAGCTCGAGATCTACAAGGGATGTCATGTTGCCTATGGATGGGAGAATGCTTCCTTGAAGTATTGTTGTTGACAGGACTAATGTTTGTAGCCTTGTCAACCGAGTGATATTCTCTGGAAGTTCCCAAGGATTGAAATTATCATTCATGTTGAAGTTTACCACCTCAAGCTCAGTGAGGTTTGTAATGGACAGTGGGAAGTCTCCACTGAATTTATTCATAGACAAGTCCAGCACCCGGAGTGATTTCATGCTGGAAAAATCTGGTAGCCTCCCACTAAGCAATAAATCACTCATGGCTAGAACTTTCAGAACGGAGCAATTGGTGATTCCATGTGGAAACCTGCCAGTGATGTCATTTTCGCTTATATTAAGAACTTGCAGCTCTGGTAGGTAAGAGCATACATCCGGAGGAAGCGATCCTTTTAGTGATTGCCTTGCAAGGTTCATCGCTATAACTTGGTCTTGACTATTACAGACTAAGCCAGTGTAATTGCAGTATGAGCTATCTCCCTTGGCAGTCCATTCAGACAAGGTACTGCCTGAGAGAGCGGTTTTCATGAGGCTGAAATACTCTGATTGCTTATCAGTTTTGGCGCCGGGACAGTTGATGAGTGAAAGTAATAATACGAAAGACGACAAGCAGAACTTAGATTGAAAGGCCATGGTGAGATTATAGAGAATTGTATTATTTTTACTGTGTTTGCGTAATTGCATGTGAAGAGACATGCTCTACCTGATACTAAGCACAGGTGATAATCCTTGCTATTCATAGGCTCATACAGATAGCATAAAGAAGGTTTATGCTTTGCCCACTAAAACTTGTAGGGCAAAAAATGTTTATTGATTGGTTAATCAAACTTTATATGTGACATTATCTCCCACTTAGGAGGATTTTGTTTTTATATTTTGGACCCAGGTTGCTTTTCAGTGTAATCAATGGACCAATTGAAAACTACAGAAAGCAAAAAGAAAGGGGCAAGCATTTTTTGCCTCTTTTTTTTTGGTCATGGAAAGAGGAAGGCTTTTTTTGGTTTAACGGTCTATGATTAAGAGCTAATAAAGCCGAGCCTAATACTCCCTTCGTTCCTTTTTGTTGGTCTCACCGATTCCACACCTGGTCTAACTATACCTCGCTCACTGTTTCCCAAAAATCACAAACAAGCTCAATCTGACCCTAATTGGAATGATGCAATACGTGATAAATATAGTGTTATAATTTAAACGAGGACATGTGAAATGGTTCCTAGGCCATCAATGGTGAATTATGTTAATTGCATGTTGTTTCAACATATACTGAATGTTAATGGTGATCTAAATTGAGATAAAGCATGTTTAGTATGTTGTTTCAACATATACTGAATGTATACCTTTCAATACTACGCCTAGAAATCATTAATATTTAGACGGTGTTGACTTTGGCCCCGGCTCATAAGTGGTCTATTCACCAACATGAAAATGAGGAACTTTAAAAAAAAAAATCATATCAAGACACCACTAATTTCCGCTTTTACTTAATCCCTTGGATAGCATGATTATCACACTACTCTAATTGATGCACGACAATAAGCCAACAAGTAAAAGAAAACAAAGGAAGTATGTGTATACCTTTCAATACTACCCTTAGAAATCTTTTTGTTATTACTTGGGTTTACACACACAATATTAAATTATCAATGTATCAACCCATCCATTCGTACGAAAAGTACGCAAGCAACATTGCATGTCTTATTTTAATCTCAACACTTAATAGTTCCATGCTTCTCCATATCCCACTTTCATCTTCTTGAAGTTTCTTCCTATTCTAATAATGTCCAATTTTACAACAATTGACTCAATATTCTCTCATTCTTGATCTATACCTTAGTTTATATCATATAGCTAACGATATTTTTACGTTAGGAGACATTGAATGTGTAGTTTAGTTACCTTTAAGATAGTTCTTTGGCAATAAAATGGAGAAGATGAAGCTGTATCGTAACTCCACAATTGGTTGTTGCTTGTTGGCTGCTCTTGAGGAACTAGTTCATGGAAATTCCATTTCCAAGGAATTCGCGCTTAAAGTTGTCAATCAATTTGATAAGGTACGTGTTCGAACCCAAAAATTGAAATCTCTGCTATCTGTTTGTTCATTATTTCTATTTTTCACTCTTTTGCAATGTGTTTTGGTTTACTGAGTTAATTTATACTCCGTACTTTGTATTAGTCTATGTTGGAAGCTTTTCAAACTGAACAAGTTCCGGAGCACAATTTGATCACCTTCAAGGTATAGTTTTGTACTTTTAGTTAATGGTGTCTTTTTAATTTTGCTCCATTTATTGTATATATTACTTATTATGTACTAATCCAGCTCGTGTTGCTAAATACTAATGTCTGCTACATAGGTTTCTTTTCCGTTTTGTTAAATAATGCTACTTACATGTGTATCTTATAATGAAGTTCATTTACAAATGACTAGGAGTCTTTAAATTGATCAAAATTGTTTTGCTTACATATAACATACTACTCTGATCTAATCCCATTTCGATCTTTCATACAATTGTTTCAATTGTATAGCTAAAACTTGAAACATTAATTCTCAAAAATTGTTTCAATTTGAACTTTGTCTGAATAAAAATGATAGGGAAAATTGCAGCAATACAAGTTCATCGATTCTTGTTGGACCTTTGATTTACTGAATGCTGTAATTTCAGCACGAGGAAAGGGGATATGGTTTAAGGTTGTTGGAAATCTGCGAATAATGGCATTCAATGGAAAGCTTGTCAACAAAAGAATTCGTAGCTAGTAATTTATTTCTCTGTAGTATTTCATTTTGAATGTACTGGTATAGAAGAGTTGTATAATTCAAGGAGCTCTAAGCCTTTAACTGTGTAAGATAAATTGGATTAATACAGTCTTCTAAGTGCTTTCAGTAGATGAATGTTAATATGTGAAAAACAAAAAAATTATGCTCTTGTAATGCGTTCACTTTAATGATATTAAGTCCTATAAGATTAGTTGCTTGTACCATTGTTAGTGATACATGTATAACAATAGAAATTGATCGGAATCATTAAATATTGAGGGTTGAATCACAATAGTACAGGAATGTTTTTATTCAACAACATTTTAGTCAATTGAGACAGTAAATGTTTGCATCTGCAATACTTTACAAACACAAGTATTTTCAACTTTCAATTTTTCGAGCATCAACTATGTGTGAAACATCATAATTCAATAATCTAGCAAGAGTTTGGTGTAGAGAATGGTTTTAAAAGAATGATTTAATCTTGTTAGGTTAGTGTGGCCCAAATTCCATAGCCCAACTCATTATATGTCAAGGTTTCTCAAGATTTCTAGAAAACTCTAAAAGCATTGAGAAATTGACGGAGAATGCCGAAAAATCTAGAATTTGGTGATTGTCATGACAATTCTAGATTTATGTGGAGAATTTGAAGAGCTTATGTGTAGAAAATTCCACACACTTCTTCCACCTCTATACATCACCTATAAATATAAGATGTCATTTGGAGCATGTATTCACCTACATCCTCCTCCAATACTCCGATACCTTTATACACTCTATGATATCTACCTATGCTTAGAGAGTATTTACCTACAAATGCCGCTCTCTAAGATATCTATCATGATATGAGTTTTTACCTACACACAATTTCTCTAATCCACTATTCTTAATTTGTATTACTCCTTTGAGAGTTTCTATAGAGAGAGTTCTCTTGTAATACTCACCCTTTCAAGGGCTATTGTACTCTCCTATTTTCACTACTTATCTTGCTTTTATCTTTCTTTTAATTATCTTATCAATCTCTACATCTTTAATTTGCTTTTGCACTTACCAATCCTAACAAATCTAGTAAATAGTAAGTAATTGTGTTTGTTTTCTGCAGCTATTGAGGTCATAGAGATGTATAATTAAAAGTTCTTTGATACCAAAAACGCACTAATTAGTTAATTAGAACTACTAGAGGCAGCTTGCATCCAAGATGAACACAACAATTCATATAAATGGGCGTATAAGCTAAGCCCATGTATAGTGTCTGCAATGATGGAAAGTGGATGGACCAACTTTGAATGTACCTGATAATATAGTGCTATAAACATTGAATGTACCTGATAATTCAAATGTGCTATAAACTTTCATCCTTTGGGTTGGGCTATAAAATGCAAACCAAGTATGGGCCATTTTGTAGGTTAGGTTAGGCAACATAAATAGGAACTACACTTTTTGGCAAAACTACCCACTAATTTCCCGTCTATAGAAGTATAGAGAAATTATTGATTGTGATGCAACGGCTCAGCGCAACTTAGTGTAACTACAACATTTTTTTTCGTGGCAAATTTTAAGATGTACCATGGTGCACCTAGAAATAGGTGCACCACGCCTATACTTTTGAACAATTAGTAAAAAAAATATGAATAATTACAAATTTTGAACATGTAGTAAAAACATCCGAACATCGCAAATTTTGAACATTTAGTTAAAAAAATCTGAACAATTGCAATGCATCATGCCTATACTTTTGAACATTTAGTAAAAAAATTTGAACAATCGAAAATTTTGAACATTTAGTTAAAAAATCTGAACATTGCCATTTTTGAACATTTAGTAAAAAAATCTGAACAATCGCAATGCAGCACGCCTATAATTTTGAACTTTTAGTAAAAAAATATGAACAATAACAAATTTTGAACATTTAGTAAAAAAATCTTAGCAATCGCAAATTTTGAATTATTTCGAGTCGGACAAATTTTGAACTAACTCGTAATAATTCAATAGTTTTGTTATATAAACTGAACATTTAATGTATACAAAATGAACATTTCTTAATAAAATATGAATATAAAAATTGCATGTTTATGTTCAATTATTATGACGTGTTCATATTTTTTTTACTAAATGTTCATTTTTTTGTAAAACGTTCAATATTTTTTACTAAATGTTCAAAAGTATAGTCGTGGTGCACCTATTTATAGGTGCACTATGGTGCACATAATACTAATTGGTTAGTGTAGCTTAGCCACTTCAACAATACTACTAAGTTTACTTTTCTATTACTTAGTAGTAGTATTTTTTTACCAAAACCTATCTTTTTTTTATTGCAACTAACGTTTAATAGATACACATATATAAGAAGCTATTGTAATCTGATGTGAACGTAGATAGAAAGGGAACGCATGTCGAGAGAGTAAGTAATCATAGAAGTATCAAATTCTAATGTTCCCGTCAAAAAAAAAAAAAAAAAAAAAAAAAAGCTAATGTTATAATTATTTCGAAAATTTAATAACAAGAGAAAATATGTTACGAGTAATATCTAGCAACAGTACAAGTAGTATTTTGGGAAAGTGAGTCCCTCACCCTATCTTTGCCGCCTAATTATTGTATGTGTATCTAAAAAAATCTTATGTACTAGTAGCAATAAACAATCTTTGCATGGACATAATTTTTGGAATTTGACACAAACTTGACTTGAGAATGGCAGGTTGGGCAATCATTCTATAATAATGAACATAGCATTTACTACCTCCGTTTTTTAAGTTGACACCGTTTAACTTTTACACAATTTACAAATTATTCTTTGACTCGCTTTTGTGATTAATAAATACGATAAAATATAGTCATGTGGGATCTTGTTTGAATCTTCTTGATGTAATGTATTAATATTCACTTTTTATAATTTTACAATGTTGATAATTAGAGATATTAAACCTTAAAAATATGTGTTGGCAAGAATGATGATAAAAAGATGTCAACTAAAAAAAACAGGGGTAGTATATATTGTTACAGGGCACATTGGTGCGCGCATCAGAAGGATTAATTGGTCGTATTTGGTTATCATTAAGAAAGATTGACATGAGCTTGATATAACACGATTTTCTTTTTTAGTACAACCTAACAGAGAACTAGGCCACTGTTACGGCCCAAATGAGCACATAAGGTAAACCTGTGTCGAGAGAACTTGTACGTGTTGATTTGTGGGATCAATTAATCAATTATTGGTTCTAGATACACATTGCGTGACAATGAGTTCGACCCCTATTAGGATATAGGGTGAATTATATTAGTAGTACAAGAATCTAGCTACCGTTATAAAATATAAAAGTCTAGCTACTATTATATGATAAGAATGTAGCTTCTATTAAACTTACAGCTGAACGATCCATCCATGCAAACGCAATCAACAAAAATGTGTGTCTTAAGATAAGCATACTACGTAAAATAACACAAGTTCTTTAATTATGAAGAATTCAGAAAAACAATGTTCTGCTATTAAGGATTCAGTATCATAGATAAATATAGGGCAATTTACTGTTTATACATAAATTGTACCAATGGAGAAGTATGTAGGATAGGGCTTGTAGCAAAGATTGAAATCGACCCTAAGTAGAATAGATCGTAAGTTTGTATCATAATTTCCTTGTTTAATATTATAATCGTCTTGTTAATTGTGACTCATTTGGATCGATAAGTAAAATAATAGCCTTGTGACTTATTCATTCGAACCAAAAAAGAAAATTATTCATCAAGGATAACAAGAATTAAGACGACTCCTTAATAAATTTTATCATTGTACTTGATCTTAGTTAAATTGATATAAACAAACTCCTTGTTTCATGTACTTGATGATATTGATGTGACACTATATACTCCTAGCTAGATCGAGTATATGTAATTAAGCATCTAGTACTACTTTATGTGTGAAAGATGTAAAATTCTTTGAATATTTATAGCTCTAACAATCCATGTGACTCTTCTCAAAGGAAAGCCATCCATTTTAACAGTAATGCTCTATATCACAAGCAGTGATTTGATACCAAAATCTTTTAGTCTAATCAATTTGCTTTCTCTTTCACTTTCTTTTTTTACCTCTCTTTTAATGGTTCCTTAAGATATCAATGTCTCTTGCAACTGTTACAACTCTTAAATGCTGTTGCTAGAGTTTTGGTATCAATGCTTTGAATTATTTTATATGAATTGGAAACATATGTATAAGCTCAATGATTTTTATAAGTCATAGTCAAGTGGATATAGTGCATTGATGGATAATAATGTTTGAGACATTCATAATAATTACACCTTTGACTGAGGAATATAATATTATAAGTTGTATAATGCCCCTACTGGGGCTATATGACATGAATTTGATCACCTCAATTTGAAAAAATATGGGTATTTCCTTTCACAAAGATCGCAATTTATTAACCTATCAAAACTAATTTGTATTCAATTACTTAATCTGAATCATTTTATTCAAATTTAAGTGTACCTCCAAAATTGCAAAACTCGTTTTAGCCATAGATGAAAATTTATTGGACAACACCAAATAATTCATCGAGAATGTGACCCAATTACGGCTAATATAAATATCAATTAATTTGATTGTTTATCTGAAGCAAACATATAATTCATCAGTCAATACCTAAAAGCATAGTCATATTGGAACTTGACCAAATAAAACTTGATCCGAATGATTGTTGTCTACCCTAGCCAAAAAAAAAAAAAAAAAAAAAAAAAAAATCTAAAACTCTGTATAACTTGTTAATAAAATAATGTGTATAAATTTTATGTTAGTTATTTGGCATTAAAAAAGAAGACATCTAATATGAATTTGGTGGTGTATGAACATGTTCATATTAGATTTATTAATATTGACATAAACTCTTTATACTCCCTCCGTCCCCGAAAGAACCACCATTTGAGTTGATTTCGCGGTTAGTGGCGGAGCTAGGAATTTTAAACCGGGGGGACAAATGAACATCATCGCTTAGTTTAACAAAAATATTAGAGCAAAAATATACTTAAATAGTTATTGTTTTACAACTCAAAAATATAAAATACAAAGTACTTTGTCAAAAAATTAACATCATATACAAGTACCATTTTTTTCTCAATAAACTATTTAATTAGGAGTTGATAGTTTTTGAAAATTTCGAACAAAAAATAATATAACTATTTAAATGTAGTACTCTCATAATTACCTACTAGGCTATTATATT